AATTTAATAGTTGGACAAAAAACTTACACTATCATCTTTATAAATCGTACAAAATTGAATTAATCATGTATTCAAGAATGAATTTACAACGTATTCTAGATTTCTAGCTGCATAATTGCTCTTGAAATTTTTGGGTTTATACTAAGCTTATACTCACTAGTACTAAAATTCTGTTCTGTTTCGTTGCCTCTCTAGGCTTCACAGAAATAAGCATCCTAAACAACATTTATATGAATTTCCAACAATCATCAACATTTGGGGAGATCCGAAGGCGGTGGTGGCAATTTTTGGTTCTTCTCCTTTCCATCCTGTACAATCCATGCCATCTTCAGTCCCCAACTCGTGTGAACTTCCAAATGACAATGCATAAACCAAGCACCTGTTCATATTCATGTCACCATAAGTTAAGCTAAGTATATGATTTTTTTTTTCTTTCACTAAAATTGGACTTATACTGTCTAGGAACATTTGCATTACCTGGATTGTCTGCACGAAATCTGATAGCTACCCATCCACCAGATGGTACACCAACCGTGTTTCTCTCAATAGGATCGACGAGGTTAAACTTTGCAGGATCATTCTTGGAATCAAAGTTACCAACCCCTTGACCTACGACGAAGAAATTAAAACCATGAAGGTGAAGAGGGTGACTTTCAGCCCCAATAATGCTAGTGTCCTGCAATACTAGCTCAACACTTGTGTTAAATGGTAAGACAATTGTTTTAGTACCGCGGCTGAGCATAAGGTTGTTGGGTGGTGTACCAGTGTAGTTAAATTTAAAGGGTGGTTTTGTTGGAAAATCTGTGCTAAACACTCCATTTGTTTGGAAGAAATGGGCTTGAAGTAATGCAATATTAGGCTGTACAAACGAAACATTATTGACCGCGGCTGCTACCATTGTGTTGTTGGGTCCTTGACAGGTTTGAATCTTAGGGCAGGGGAGTAATCCGAGGCCAACAGTGAAGAAGAATTGCCTGTCAATCTTTTTAGGTACATTGGCAGGGAAATTTGAGTTTGCAAGGCTTCTTAACTTGCTGTTAAACTTAGCCGCGAATGAAGTGTCATTAAAGAAAGGGAGTTTTGGTTTGAGTAGTGGAAGTTTAGTGTGTGTGTCTTTCTGAGAAGGATCACGAGCATACACGAGTATGGCAGCTGTGGTTGTATTGTCGAATGTTGCAGGTCCGGTTGCATAAGGCCGCGCTGCCATGAGGAAGGATGCATTAGGATGGTGGTTCTGGGCCGTAAGAAGAACATTAGTAGTTTGTCCAGGAGTTATGAGGATAGTGTTGGTTCTGAATGGCTTAGTATAGATGGCATCTGCTTCGACAACTGTGAGTGTATGGTTGGCGATGCTGAAGAAAAGCTCGTCGTTGAGTGCAGCATTGATCAGACGAAGAAGGTAAGTCTTGCCCGGCTTCACCTTGAGCTTAAATGCATCTACATAATGAGTAGTGCAGTAATCAGATGACAGATACTGCTAGAAAGTCATAGTAATCAATACTATAAATCATACTTCATAGGATTAGATGTATGTTTTGTACCTTTTATTGAGCAATTGTACAAGGGTCCAGGAAGCCCGTTAATAGTGAACGCGTCTGAAAGATTAGGGGCTGATCCTGTTTTCATTGCTTGGTTAATCACTAATTCAGTGTCTGCTTTCCACCATTCCCCTGTTTTTTTAAAATTTAATAAATTGACATCAATTATTTTAGGAAAATTTGCAAATTACCACCCACAAAGTATACCTATTTTGATATAACCACCCAAAAAAAAAAAAATTTGTAAAATACCACCCACTAATTTAAAAAAACGCTCAGATTGCCACCCATTTAGAATTTCCGGTGGAATTTCGGTTTGTGGATCCCACTCAACGGCTAATAACAACTATTTTTTGGTTTTTAACTCATTGCTTCCCCGATTTTTTCCCATTAAACACTTCTCCATAGTAAAACACCATCTTCTTCTTCAAATTTTCCCAAAATTTCACAAAAAAACGCTTCCCCTAATTGCAGAAGCATCCACAAGAATTGTAATTGGGGAAAAAATGGGGGATTAGTTAATTAGGGTTCTTGTTGCCCTTGAATTGGGGAAAATTGGGGAATTAGTTGTGTTATTTCAACAATTAGGGTACCTGTATTATTGAATTTGGAAGTGGTGGCGATTTCTGGCTCAATTGCGGGCCAAAGTTGGAACAATGGTGGCGATTTGGTGCGGTGGTGGCGATTTGGTGCGATTGGTGGCAATTTGGTGCGATTTGGTGTGTGTGGGTTAACATGGGCAGTTTTGCACGGATTTGGTGGCGATTTTGTGGTGCTTGGTGGCTCAATTGCAGGCTGTAGGTGGAACGGTGGTGGCGATTTGGTGCGGTGGTGGCGATTTGGAACGAAGGAGGCAGTGGCGGAACTAAGGGGGGGCTGGCGAACGGAATTGATGGTTTTTTCAGGGGTTGGGGGGAAGGGGAGGGGTGGTTTTCGGTGTTGCTGGAAAAGGAGATAGGTGATTTGCTAGAAAAGGTGGAGCAATGGTGGTGGTGGTGGTTGGGAAGAAGAAAGAAAAAAGGTAGGAAGAAGAAGAGTGAAAAATCGGGGAGAGAGAGTGAGAAATCCGTAAAATAGAAGAAAAAAAAGGAAAAAAATAAAAAAGTGGGGCCCACAGACGGAAATTCCACCGGAAATTCTAAATGGGTGGCAATCTGAGCGTTTTTTTAAATTAGTGGGTGGTATTTTACAATATTTTTTTTTTGGGTGGTTATATCAAAATAGGTATATTTTGTGGGTGGTAATTTGCAAATTTTCCATTATTTTATCAAAATTTGATTGAAAAGGTAAAATTATCATAAAAATACTACGAAAATTTACCAAAAACAATTGAACTTCCTTGTAAGGCTGAGGGAATGGATAAGGAACACCATGCTTTGGTAGAATTATAATGGGGCCATAAAGAGTAGCCCTAAGCCATGAAATATGAGCATGCCAAAACAAGGTTCCTCTTTGATCTGCGACTCTAAATTTATACACATATTTTTGACCAGTTTGAGTTGGGCATTGTGTGACATAAGCCGGTCCATCAGCCCATCCACTCCTCAGTTGTCTAATGCCATGCCTGTTCCGTGATATTAAATGGTACATTTAGATTTATGTTATGTTAAATGTATACGAATATTTGTTTTTTCGTACAAAGATGTTACTTACCAGTGAACTGTAACGTTGTACTTAATGTTATTCACCATAGTAATTTCAAGTCTATCACCTTCCCTGGTGACAATTTTTGGCCCTGGGAACTGCCCATTAATGGTTACAATGCTCTTTGTTTGGCATAATCTCGTCACATTTTGCATCTTGACCTACATGCACGATGAAAGGATAAGTTACAATGTGCCTAAGTAACAAAAAATCTGCTTTCGTAGTTAAACAGCTAATAGGGTCAATATATCTTATATAGTAAATTTTGTACACTTATAAAACAGTTTTGCTTACCTCAAAATTGTAGCGTCGAGTTATGCCAGTATGCTTAGCCATAACAAGCTTAGAGCTAACCAAGCAAGTACAAAGTAGTAGGAAGAGTGTAGTGTATAAGTAAGATGATGAATGTGTAAGCCAAATGTACCCCATTTTAGCTTCTCAAAATTTGTTTTGAGGTAATGGTAAATTAATTGCTTACGAGACCGAAAAACCAAAACAAATGTAAGATGATTAAGGTGAGTGGTGTAACACAAAGAAAATGAGGTGATTTATAATAAGAGGAAGAATAGATAGTGAGAGATTGAGTAAATGTGATGGTTAAGTTTGGTGATTTAGTGGATAATTAAGCAAGTAATAGACATGTAGATGTGGCTTTCAACCAAATGAACCGTTAAACCAACCAGCTGCTGGTTGATTTTTTGGGTTAAGTGGGATGTCCAACTCAATTTGCATATTCTTCAGGATTTTGAAGGAAAGATGTGTATGTAGGTGTTAAGGTGTATGTGATTTGACTTATTACTGGAAAGTCAGCGTTTAATTATAATGGAAAATTATAAATAAATTAAAAATAAAAGTGGCTACAATTATCCAACCTAAAAGTGTTTAATCAAGCTTGTGTTTTACACAAAATTCATCATCATGAATTCATGACTGTTGTTTAGGAGCAAATCAAATAAGAATACTACATGATGTAGATTTCTACTGCAGAGTATTTCCTTTGGCACTATTTTTTTTTATATTTTTTTTACGCATATATATATATATATGTTTTAAGATGCGTCTTGTAGACCGTGAAAAGTCAAATGGGCAAAAAATAGAAACCGAGGGAGTATTATCTATACCCTCAGTCTTTATTTGTTCTTCTTAATTTTTTTTTTTTTTTGTCTGAAAAATAAATTACACTGGTAAGAAGGAAGAGTAAGGGTAGATGTGTAATGTGTTTAAATAATATTTTGATTAATAGTTGTTCATCTACTTTTTCTAATTAAATTAAAATATTTGGTGTACACTATGTGTACAATATTTTTAGTGTAAATCAAACAGTTTTAGGTAACTGTTCATCCTCTTTGGATAATTATTACCCTGTTTTCAGGTAACTTTAAACCTTTTATGATTTAAATGTAAATATTTCATGAGATAACTCTGATAAGGATATAATATAATTACCTTTACACTCTAGCTTGGGATTTACTTATTGTAGAGTAAGTTTCGATTTTTTTAAAAAAATTTACCATTGTTGGTTGTACATTATATTGTACACTGGATTAAAAGTAAAAACTAACCATATACTTCCTCCGTTTTTTAATAGTTGCAAACTTGCAACAGTTTGACTAGTTTTAATGATTTACAGCTATGTAAAAAATATAGTCATGTGAGATCTTGTTAGGTTCGCCTCGATTTATACTATTTTAATATCAAATGTTTATAATTTTTATATATTGATAATTAAAGATATTAACGGTTGAAATCATGCATCGACAAACGTGAAAAAAGAAGTATTGCAACTATAAAAAAAACGAAGGAAGTAGGTAACATTTTACGGAGTACATTGTAACATTTGTTTTCATGTAAAGTTAGAAAATCCTAGTCAAAGTTTGACTTATGAATTATCAAAAATCAAAGTGATGTAAGTATTTTAAATAAAACCAAATATGTAAAAAGATTACAATGTACATATTCCTCCATTTCATAAAAATTGTAACACTTTTTTAGTCAAAATGTAATTTTTTTTTTTTTTTTTTTTTGAAACGAAGAAAGTATATAATAACGTAAAATTAAAAGTGCTTACCAACTACATGGATCTATAACCTAACCCTTACTAAAATATGAGCACTTCTACTGTAGATTAGCAACAGTGCATTTCCCGTAGTGCCCTTAATGCTCAAAATTCCTTCTTTGCCCTTGGTCCAAGTTGATTTGATGCCTGACTCTTGTCTTCTCTTCTTCCTTTTTCCTGAATTCCTCTGATTGTTATCAGAAATTGCTCCATCCTCTCAATTTCTAGCATCCTCTCTCCTCTTTCTCCCTTAATTTCCTCCCCTCCATATCTCCGATTCTCAATTACATGATGAAAATCAGAATTTCTGGCGGTGTTAATTCTCTTGCTTCACTCCATTGAAGGAACTTCTGAGCTTTTCCTCTCTCTTAAATTCATTCAAGTAATAGATTATCCTGTAAACCCTAATGTACTCGAAATTATCAGAAAAGGCATTGGGTTTGTGGAATTTGGGGGTAATTTCTCCCTGCTCTATTGAAGGCTTGAAGCACGTACTCTGAATCCTCCATTGATGCGGCTTCTGAGCTTTCCCATCAGTTGAAGCAACTTCTGAGGTAAGATCTTTCTTCTTCTATGTTCGTCTCTTCCAATTCCTGTGTATACTGTGAATTGTTTGTCTAAATCAAAAGTAATCCCAAAAAAATAAAAAAAAAAATAAAAATTAGCTAGTAATGTTTACTTTTGGATTTAACAATTTTGTTTGTGTAATATGTGAATTGAATTGGTTTTGTTTCTCTGGTGATAAATTGATTGCAGAAATTGGTTCAACATCAGCCAACTCAATATCCAACATCCGAAGAACTTAGTGTTGGAAAAATCAAGTTCAAGGCCTTTGATTTGGTAGGGCATCAGATTGCTCGCCGGGTTTGGAAAGATTACTATGCTAAAGTAAATTTATATTCTTGTATATTTTGGTATGTCAATAATTATATTTGGTGACTGATTGATTATGTTGTGTGTCGAAAATTATCAGGGTGTTTTGTTGGTCATTCTAATTGTGCTTAGTGTTTTAAAAACTAATTTTCCAAATTGCCACATCAAAAACCTTTATTTGAGCTTAACCCTCTGGATGGTTTGTGGAAGCTACTTCTAAATGGTTTCTTTGTCAATTACATTCTAAGTACTAGGGAAAATATCTATCTTTGTGTCTTAAATCTTAGATTAATTGATTCTGATTCTATATGCAGAACCAAGAGTCTCAAGTTGGTAATGGCAATAAGTACAAAGCAGGCTCTGATTTCATGAGAAAAGCTTTTACCTCATATCATCAAAGTCAGTAAGTGGCTTCTTGATTCATAATTTTATTATAGAAATTGTGACGTATCTTGATAAGAGGATTTTTTTTTGGACAAATTAATGGCAAGAGTATGGAAAAAGACTCCTTCAATGATTTAGGCTGTAGGTAATTTTACATAGAGATAAAGATGGTAGTTTTTCAAGATAAAGAAACAGATTTGATGAAGTTAATTGACTTGATTAGTGTGTAAAATATTTGATAGCTAACTGATTTTAAGTAAGAGGAAATTTATCGGGACTAAGGAACAGTATGCCATAACTACTACAATTCTTGAAGTAAAATTCCATGGTTTTAAACGTATGGTCTTATTATTCCTTATGATCTTGGTTTTAAAATTCCACATCTGGATTAACAGGGACTATTGAGTAAGATTCTCGAGTCATATAACAGTGACAATCTACTCTTATAATCTTATATGGCTTTGGTTGATGAGATGAAGGATAGACATATCTCTCTATCTATAACGACTATAAGGGTGCATTATTTTTGTCTCAACTTATTAGTCCTAAACTCCTAATGATCTTAGCGATGAAACCTTTGTAGCAATAGCTAATAGCTAAGGATAATAAAGATGCATCTCAACAACTATATGATGCCATGGTATAAACATGCTTACCAAATCTGATTCATCATCCAAATTCTAATTTTAAAGGGTCATGGATTATTTATTTTGACTAAAATGTACTCCGTTTATTTGCATTCATTTATTAGAATGTTTACCAAAATCTTTGAATGAAGTTCATTAAACAAATGGAGCAGATTAGGGAATACTAAATCTGATTTCATCATCCAAACTCTAATTTTAAAGGGTCATATGGATTATTTATTTGACTAAAATGTACTCTGTATATTTGCTTTCATTTATTAGAATGTTTACCAAAATTTTTGAATGAAGTTCAGTAAATATATAAATGAAGCAGATTAGGGAATCATTTTTATTAAGGTTCAATCAATTTTTTAATTTGGTTCCTTTAATTTGAAAATTTGATTCATACCCTTGTTGATTTTATGCTTTATTTTGGACCCTTTTGCTTAATTTTGTTGATGATATTTTATTTAGATTTCTTGGGTTATGCATATTGTTTTGATAGGCGTGTCGCGTACCTATCAAAAATAACCTAACAGACCAATACTAATGTAGACCGGCAAGTAAGGGTCGGATCCCAAGAGACTAAGGTTCAAAAATAATTAAATAGACTCGAATTTCTACTAAGTAAGAATCAATAATGATCGATTAACTAAGGAACTAATGTATGAAAAATTCAAAAATAAACTAAATGAGATGATTAAATCAAGTATTTAAAACATCCAAGATCTAGTTTCACCACAATTATTATCGATGCAATTGTAATTCTACCCTTAACATACAATTTCAATCGAACGGGGAAAAGTAAACCCTATTAAATACCAAGGATCTCTCTCGAGTATCAATGGCTTCCCTAACATACAATCAATCCTATTCTCATGGTATCATGCATATTAAAGACATTAAACACATTACTCTGACTTCCCAATTGTCAAACATAACTACTCTCGTGATATGAATCAAACCCTAAATTAATTTACTCAAATCCGTTTATACCCAACTCTCGCTGTGATAAAAACAATGGAATAATCGCAATATTATAGTTACGTCTAACCTAGCATTGGCATAATCACAATCAATTTAGCAATTCAATTGTTAAAGTTATTAAAGAATTTAAAGATTTAATTCATGCATCAATAATAATAGGGCTACACTAGACCTTGAATTAAAGAATCTACTCACACATGATTAAAGAAACAAAAACAATAATAAATAATGAAAACAATAATAAATAATGAAAACATAATTAAATAACAAGGGATGAAAAATAAATACCAAATCTTGAATAAAATTGAAAGTAGAAAGTTTGAATCTTGAATTACAAAAACTTGGAAAATAATAATGGAGAACTAGTTCTTAAGGAGAGAATAATAAAAAAAATAAAAACAAGGCTTAATTAATGAATCGTCCTCAAAACAAGGCTAAAAGGTTTATAAACAAACCTAAAAAGATAAGATTTAACTCCTAAGTTTGGCGCACTGAAATTCCAGGAGGCACGGACGTGCCTAGTGTGAGGCACGGACGTGCCTCTCTAAAAATAAAAACGCTGCTGAGTCTGTCTTCCTGCTGGCCACGGACGTGCCTGCAGGCACGGACGTGCTGGGTGTTTAAACATGGGCGTGCTTGCTTCTTTACCTGGGCACGGACGTGCCTCATAGTAGGCACGGACGTGCCTCATAGTAGGCACGGACGTGCCTCATAGTAGGCACGGACGTGCCTCATAGTAGGCACGGCCGTGCCTACCTCTAAAAGGGCCTTTTCTTCAATTTTTCAACTTCATGGGCCTTGGCTTACTTCATGGATCCATAACTCATCCAAATTAATTCCATTATTCCTGAAATTCATCAAAAACAACACAACTACCCATAAAAGCATCGAATTATCCAAACTAAAGCAAAATACGCCAAAACGGACTCAAATACTCAACTAAACTAACAAAACTAACTAAAAATAAGCCAAATAATATACACAAAACACGACATATCATTTTTCTGAATTGTTAGTGATTAGATTAATCTGTGAATTTTAGAGTAATAGGTTGATTAAGTTGTGGGATGTCGAAGAGCTGATTTGTTTGATTTGCTCTCGACTTTGGTCAAGGAATGCAATTTCTTCATTCTCAGGGAATACTTCGCCATGATTTAAAATCAGAAAATCTTCTTCTCAAAAATGATATGTGTGTGAAAGTAGCTGATTTTGGTATCTCATGCTTAGATACTCAAATTGGCAGTGCAATATGATTCACTGGAACCTATCGCTGGATGGATCTGGAAATGATAAGAGAAAAGCACCATACAAAGAGAGTTGATGTTTAATGTTTTGGCATCATCTCGTGGGAGATCTTGACTTCATTGACGCCCTTAGATGATATGACTCCAGAACAGGCTGCTTTTGTTGTTTGCCAGAAGGTATTTACTACATTGATCAGCTAAAATTACTTCAATATTCCACTCTTTCTTTCATGTAACTGTTTCTCTGATCTAAGTATGTGTCACTTGAAATCTTGAACTGTTTAGAGAGGTGCAAAAGAATTAACTTAGACAACTGTCTAAAATCTACTATGAAATTTTGGGTTTTGGAACAGTGTGTTCTGATCCATCCATAAGTTAAATCAATCCTAACCCGTGATATCACCGGTTTTAGATAAAATGTTATGACTCGATGTAAATGACTTGGCAGAAAGCCGACCTGAGGTCCCGGTCAACAGGTCTAGCTGGTCTGTGAGTTGGGTAATGTTTTTCTTTAAGAGTCTAATATACATGTTGCTGAAGTTGTGATCTGTGCAGCCACATAATTCTGCTGTTCTTGGATGCCTTGATGTTTGATTGTTTACACCTAGCTTAGAATGCACCTTCCACAATAATGGAATCTGAGACAGTGATCTTGTGTAATAAATGGGCAGATATTTGTGGGGTTAAATTACCATTATATATTAATTTGTTGAATTGCTTTTTTCCTTACATTGACATCTATATTGAGTAATTGGCGGGGTAAAGTTTCAGAAAGTAATTTCTGGCTGAACAACATCAACTATTGATTCATGGTCCTAAATAAAATTTGCAGAATAATCAATTACTGGTTCATGGTCCTAAATAAAATTTGCAGAATAATTAATTACTGGTTCATGGTCCTATAATAACATCGTCGATTGAAAGGGAATGAGGGGTCTTTCATTAATCATGCAAGAATTAATAATTCATAAATGTAACTAGGTGCAACTCTCATGTACTCGGATTCGCACAATCATGCGAGGCAAACCCACCTTTGTGGGTGTTTTACAAATATTTCCGCAATATATTGTATCTAATGAAGTTCCAAGTGTATATATCCATGAATCTGTTTTTTTATTTTTTATCTTTTCTTTTTTTGGGCTCATCCTTGCATCTGAACAAAATGTAGTTTAGATAAAAATTAGTAATATTGTTTTTTCAGGATAATATTGGTAGATCTCTATTTAAGTAGGTAATTTTGGCTGGGTAATTCTTTTTTTCAGGAAGGTTAGTAATTGTCTTTTTTTTTTTTTTTTTTTTTTTTTTCCAATTTTATTATTTTTAAAAATTTTTCTTTGTATTGTTTCCGGCCTTGTGATTCGCAGGTCTAGAAATTAATTGATCATATGAGTTATGTTTTAAATGTTGCAGGCATAGCCGAAAACCTTGGGACAAAATTTAATGCTGACAATAAAACATATGGCAGTTCCAGAGGTGTTATTCTTGGTCATTTGACGTTTAAATCCAATATTGACAAAATAAAATTGCTAATTGTAATTGATCTGGATTGCAGGTTACTGACTTTGTTGATAATGATCACCAGAAATGGCTCACTGCTAAAGAAGCAATGGTAAAACTTAAAATTCTATGATTTCTGCTCCAATCTATATTTTGCTTTCTTTGTGATATCTTTTTAATTTTTTTTCCAATCTACATGGTCAAATAACTCCATGTAAATTTAGATGGATAACATCATAACCAAAATTGAGCTACTTTCTCTCTGTCTTGTTAGTCTTCTTACTAGGTGAAGTTAATGAGTATGACGCAGTTTTTCTAATGCATTACGTCTTCAACATAAATTATGACTTCTTAGGTTTCTGCTTGAATGACATTAAAAACAGTAATTATATATGAGAATCTTATTTTAGTTGTTCCATCAGAATCAAAGATCTTGGACCTAAATTATTGATTAGGGTCAAGGGCGGTTGAAACATCGTTTCTTTTTTGATTCGAATAGAACTATGATCAATAAAGCTAGAAGCAGTCTCTTATTTTTGAAAAATTACTCTGTATGTTGAAGTTGGGGTACTGTGATGTTTCTTTTATATTTTTTGTACTTAATTTACTTGATACATGCATTCGGGGTCTCTGCCAGTTTTATTTAGTGACAATACATTCCTTATTATACAAGCAATCTTCAAGAGATTTCAGATGTAGACGTTCTTATCTTCTTGGTTTATTCAATTTCCTACATTTGTTTCTTAAATTTATTGCAACAGAATTTTTTAATGGTGTAATTTCATCACACTATTGGTACCTGTGTCCAATTGTTTTAGGGATGTTGAATTCTTTATGGTACTAAGTGGTTGCGTCTTTAGGTTAGTGAATTGTATTATTCTACTTTGATTATTGTTGAGTGAGATTTAGTACGAGGAAAGTCCAATTTGGCATTATCAGTGATGGGGGCAAGTGTGAGGGTGACTAGGTTGATGCTATATGAGTGTGACCATGTTGTTAGTTTGTTTAGTTGATGTGGCTTATTGAACTTGATTCAAATTTAGCATCTGTCCTCACTCCTCACCTATATGTACCCTTTTAAAGAATTTAGAAGAAAGATTATTGGATATAAGTCATAGTCTTTGTATATTCTATGGATTATAGCTATTTTGGCTTTGCCCTGTTTGCTATTTTGGCTTTGCCCTGTTTGCTATTCAATTGTTTTGTATGTGTAGTAGGGCTCTGTTTGCTATAGATGCTATAGTTGTTTTGTATGGTACTGTTGTATTCGTATTTGACTAAAATCTGTTGATATGTCTTGCAAACATACTGTATGTTGAATTTCTTGTAATGTAGTGGGGTGGTTTTGCAGATGCATGCATAAATTTTGCTATGGATTTTTATTTCTTTTGGTTTAGTGAGGTCTTGTTTATTTATGCAGGTAAGCCATGGTGAGGCATAATAATGTTGTGTGTGCCTAATGCCCATTTCAAGAAGCACTGGCAAAACTATGTCAAGACTTGGTTCAATCAGCCTGCTTGTAAAACTAGAAGAGTGTGTAAGCTATAAGTTTATGATTCTAAACATTGATTATAGAAATTAATTGTTATTAGTTGAAAGATGCAAATTTTAGTTTATAAGTTGTTTGCACACTGTCATTGATTAGATAATTCAACCTTCTGCACAATTAATCGTGGAGCATGAATCAATCATACCAGGAAAAGTACAATAGCTACCTTGATGCATGTACTTGACAATGAAATAAAAGCAAAAAATAAGTTACCAACTTATATTGAGATACTTTCTGGTATAGTCATGTGCAGGACATCTCTAGAGTGCCAAGATGTTTCTCTGGCTCGTTATGGATTTAGGAAGGCGTGGCCAATCGTTTTGTGTAATGCTAAGTCATCTGCTCCTGCAATAAGGTATTAACATTTTCATCATTTGTCTGCATTATCTTAGGCTAAGTCATCTGCTCCTACCTGAGATGTGGTTTTTTCATTATAATGCTAAGTCATCTGCTCCTACCTGAGATGTGGTTTTTTCATTATAGGAAAAGTATATTATTAAAAGGTTCAGATTTTGGACGAACAACATCAATCTTGAATTAAATAAGCAAAAAGAGAGAGAGAGAGAAACAAGATAATGAGGTGGCAGCAGTACGACAAAGGCAGCAGCAGCAAGAAGAAAACAGCAGACCAGGCTGGTTGCGGTAGTCTATAGAGGCTGCAACAGCAACCTATAAACCAAAAGTGAGAGGATGCTGTGAGAGATTCAAGGTTTGGGGTTCTCGTTAATTCATTTGTTAATTCACAAATGCAACGGAGATTCATGGTCTGCGGTATCTACTTTTTTAGTGGAAATAATTGAGGAAATTTTGTCTAGAACTACCCGCAAGATAGGGTCATTTGTGAACAACTACCCCCCCTTTTTTTTATTTGTTTAGAACTACCCGCAAGTTTGAAAACATTTGGGTAGCACTACCCATTAATGTTTTCCGTCCAATTTACACGTTATTGGGTAACTATTCCCACCCAATTAACTCCCCCCCAACTACCTTCTCTCCTCCCTAATTAATTTCCTTCCATTATCACCCTCTTCTCTCACCTTCCTCATTTGACCTTGATTCTCTGACCTAAGCAGCGAATCTTCACCATCATCTTCCTCTCCTTTTCAGAAATTTGGCAGCCCTACCATCCCTTTCTTTGTTATCTCTCTCTCTTCCAACTCATCTTGTTGCTTTTTTGGGTAACTCGAAGTAAATGAGTGAAACTACAGCAATGAAAAAGGGGGAAAGTGAAGTAAATACACAAATTATTGCAGCACAACAAGGACGAACAAGGTACATTGGTGTAATCACCTTAAATTTCTGTCCTTTACCTTTAATAATATAAAAAATGTGAAAACCCTTAATATTTAAATACTTGAAATTGGAACCCTAATTTTTTAATTGACAAAATTGACCGGACAATTAAACAATTGCAACACTTTATCACATAATTAATTAACAATTGAGGTTGCTGTTGAGCTTAGATAATTGTGCATTACTCGCTTAGTTGTTATGTCCTGCATGTTGTTTGAGTGAATGTTGTTTGACTGAATTTAGCCACATTGTTATTGAATATTAATTGTTATATATCAATGTTGTAGGGAGCTTCAATCTTATGTTGATATGAATATTTGGGTTGGTAGGGAATTTAAATACAGAAAGGGTAAGACAGAATATATGGGGGGAGGAATGTATATGAGAATGAGTTGTTGGTTGAAGGAACTTAATGTTGGGACTTTGAGAAGGTGGGTGATACAAGCATATGATTTAGTGTGTAGCAGGTACCCCAAAATTTCCCCAAAATTTCAGTGTGGTACAGGTTAAATGGCAGAAATTTGACTAATGGAAGAAGAAAAGTTTGAGACATTGATGACATTATCAATTTGGTCAACAGCAGGGATAAAGAGATAATTTGGGCCTTACTTGAGAAGTCAAACCCAATCCAACAAATCGAACAGGCCAAGGTCCAAGGATAAAGAACTGTAGCTTTGTACCTACTTTCACTCCCAAACCAAAACCCCCAACTATCAAACCAGCACAAAACTGAAGCCCATTAAAAAAAGGTTCAACTTGTTAGGTGGAGCTTAAGGTTATCTCCCAAAAAAGGCATAATACATGATGATGATGATAATAGGGAAGCTGTAGTGATTACCCAAGCTGAGTATAATAGCCATTTTAGGTAGGTACAAAAAAGCCCAATGTTATCCTCACAATGCTCAGAACCTTATTTGTCTCCTTGTTAACAAAAAACAAGTCAAGAACAAAACCCTTTCCCAAATTCTTCTTCTGTACCTTCTTTGAACCCTAGCAACTCTTCTCCTGCAAAAACCTACCCTAAGAAAGAAAACAATTGCTCAAAAGGGGAAGTCAAAGAAGAGTGTAGCTTCAAAGGGAAAGCAGGTTAGGAAAGAAGGCAGATTTATGCCTTATGTTGCCAAGGTATTCCAATTTGTGTGGACATTTGGGAAGTGGACTACCATAATGATAGATATGTAGTCAATTTGGGGGAGAGAACATGTAGCTTCAGATGGGATCCCATGTGCACATGCTTGGGCTTGCATTGTAAGAAAATTTTGTTGATAATTTCTACTTAGAGGCAAACACACCATGTATTAGACCTATGCAGGGCATGAAACAATGGGAGAAAATGTCTGATATGATGCAACCCATACCACCTGTAATAAGGTTTTCAGGTTTTTGTGGCAGACCCTCCCATAAGAAAAGGAAGCAGGAAATTGGTGAGTAGTGCCAAAGAGCTAAGAAACTGCCAAAGTGCTCAAATTGTGGACACCTAGGGCATTATAAGAACAAGTGCTAGAATCCACCTCCTGACTTAGGTGGCAGGCCCCCATCAATGAACCCTTGGAATGTGTTACAAAGGCAAAAGAATTGGGAAAGAGCTGGGAAAAAGGTATGTGGGGACTCAAGCTAGGTTGTATCTTTTAAGATTAATGAACCATGCTCTAAATGTGTTATAATTTGTTTTAAATTTTTTTTTTTTCTCAGGGTAAGATTAACCCTCAAAATTGGCACATCCACATCACAAATTGCTCCATCTCAGCAAAGCTCACAGGATGTAGCTTCTGGTCCACCATAACCTACTCAACCAACCCCAACACCCCAGCCCTGCCTCAAACAACCGGCATAGGGAAGTCCTAAGGCAGCACAATCAAAAGCAAAGCTTCCAATTAAGCCAAAAATGAAGAATCAGCCTACGTGGAAGCCATAGATTATGATGTGATTTGGTTATTTTTTGTATTTTGTGTTAATAACAATCTTTATATATTTTGGGGGGCTACATGTACTTCAACCTAATATTACATTGTTGTAGCCTATATTTTATTAAGTGTTGATGAACAAATCCACTTTGACCTTGTAATTATTTTGGATGATGAAATGCAAGGCTTTTTCAATATAAATGTGCTCAAAATTTATGTCTTAAATTGCATTGTAAAGGTAGTAATCAAAACACCATTCCATTTCATTGTAATGACAATATTACGACCTAAAATTGATAAAGGTCGTGCACTTTGTTTACATATCAAAATCTATGACATTTGCCACTAATACAATGCAAATGTAATACCAATCATTAACTAATTGCCTACTACATCAATGTCCTTCCTAAATACACTAACACCAATCCAATAATAACAATTATCACTACGCCATCCCTATCACCTGCCTTTGCCTTCTTCATAGCTGCAGAAAGTATCTTGCATTTCTTGTTAAATCTTTCTTTTTCAATCTCCACCCTTGCCTTTTGGTCTTGAAGCAGGCAAACCTGTTGTTTCAGTAAAGCAATCTCATTTTTCATAAGCTTTTGTCCAACACAAGTTGATTAGTAACAACCCTCTGCCACTTAAATATTTCTTCATCAATCCATCTGAAAAATTTGCATCCTCTTGTACCAGATGCAGCATTATAGAATTTACAAGCCAAAAATCTTCTCCTAGGGTTTTTTGTAGTCCACGACATCTCCAATTTTGGTGGAATACTACAATTGCACTTGTTTGGATGATATTGCATAGCGAAGTGGTATGAAGAATTGGACATCCTACCAATTACAATGTCAATTAGTAAATAAAATGCTTCAAAATTCAATCTCAAATACAAAATAACCGATTCCCAGAACTCAATTGAACCCCAAGCCCTAGAAATCAAAACCCCCAAATTTGATTGAGCACATAAACCCTAATCTGAATCAGTAATTTAAACCCTAATTCTTTAATTTGCATTCAATTAAACCTTGTAAACAAATGCGAAAAACAATGTATTAGAAGGAAAGTGTGAAAGATGACCTGAATTTGTGTTCAATTGCTTGATTTCTTCAATCAGATTTTTTGAGTGACGATGGAGGGAAAAAAAAATTATAGAGGAGAGAGGAGGAGAGAAGGTAGTTGGGGGGGGGGGAGTTAATTGGGTGGGAAAAGTTAAAAGTGAGCTCTAATAACGTGTAAATAGGACGGAAAACATTAATGGGTAGTGCTACCCAAACGTTTTCAAACTTGCGGGTAGTTCTAAATAATTAAAACAAAAATGGGTAGTTGTTCACAAATGACCCTATCTTGCGGGTAGTTCTAGACAAAATTTCCAATAATTGATTAGTTTTGTTGGGTTTTAATAATAGATTATAGGTGTTGCATAATTTTTGCCACAGGTTATTTTCTTTTGAAGATAAGTAAATAAATCCATCTAAGTATTTTAGGGGAAAATTCAAGTTGATCTTTCAGATAAATTTGTAAATACATCCCCTCTCACAATATATTGTTTTTCTTTGATTTTTTAAATAATAAAAGTGAAATAATAAAGTGGCACAGACATCTATACATAAAGTTATGAGAGGAGATAAACTAAAATGTCAATCTCGGGTTCCCTTGTATTTTAGTTTACAATAGCTTAAAACGTCCTTGAATAGTTTCTTGCATTTGATGTTACCAGATGGATATTCTGAGAATTTTAGATTAATCCTACTTTTTGGCTATGTTCTTTCATTTGCATGTACAGCGTTACATATCATGTTATGTATACTTTTCCAAATTTATTATGCACGAACACATTTTTCTACATAGCAATTATGATTCCAGGTGAATTGCCCAATTAACATAAATTAAATCAGTCAACAAACAAGGTAAATAACTAAGAATAAGTATCTCGGAAGTATTGACTACTTAATGATCCCGTAAAAATTGGGAAAGCATTTCACCTACTTTTTATTTGTTGTGTACTTCTGTATTAGAATGATCATTGACTAATAATTCAATAATAAATTTACCATATATGGTGGTTTGATTACAAAATAAATAACATTTTATTGTTAGCTAATTAATTAACCTGTAGTCATTATAAAAGCATTTAGGATTAAAAAAATAAATAATTAAATAAAAAATCATCTATCTTGGATTGGGGTAAGATTATTAAAAATATGTAATACGCAACCAAATTCTCAAGCAAATAGGCAATCAAATAAATATTCTATCCCCTATGCAAAACCTTTGAGAACAAGTTAGAGTTGGGGTAAATGAATGGCAAGGGATCAAATTGAAAAAGGTTATTTGAAATTTGCAAACATATAGAAGACGAATGAGTATTCGTTGAAGAAAAAAGACGCATTGTCTTACATTCAATGTTTACACGACAATAATAGTACTCTTTTTTTTTACGGGAACAAACGTACTCTTTGAATAACATATTTAGTTGAGCAATTTAGAATTCACCTTATTTTATTGGTTAAGGTCCTTAGAGTTCTTTTGTAAAACAATCCAAAGAACAACTTATATATGATTTTAAGTTAGTTAAAGAATGACCTTGAAGTAATTGTTTAATAAACATAGCTTATAATAATCACAAACTTAATAATTAACAAGTAATAAATATGCATCAAAAGCGTTTTTCCTAAATATTTTTTGCAAAATTGGGAGTGTAATTATATAAACAATATTACTACAAATTGTTCCCTTTTTTTTTTTTTTTTTTTTTTTTGGTATATATTTCAAACAAATGCCTTATATTTTTGGATTAATACCGTTTTTTAATCCCAACTTTCACCAATTTATTTTCATTAATCCCAACTTTGGATTATTCCTCAATAATCCCAACTTTAAGGTGGTCTATTATTCTTCAATTCCAAAAACTGGTTACCGGTTAAATGGGATATTTTTTTTTTGTTAAAGTGACACGTGTCACAAATTAATTGGTTAAAAATTTTTTTAAAAAAAAACCAAAATTAAAAAAGAAAAACCACCCAAAATAAAAAAACACAAGCAAATCACCCAACCCTCCACCCCAGCTCACCGGAACCCCCAACCCCTACTCAGACCGCGAAACTTGACCTCGACCCTCTCCCACCCCGGAAAACACCATCTCCACCCCCTATCTAACTTCCCTCATCCCGAAACCCCTTACCCCAGCCACCGAACCACTCTTTCCTTTGCGAATCACCACCATGGACCTTGAAACCATCGTCGAACCACCCTATCCTTGCTGAACGACCACCACCACCACTATCTTCACTCTCAATTCAATTTTCTCTCTCCTCAACCAATAGATCCATAGCCCACCGACCAACACTCCCAATCTAACCTCCGATTGTTCCCTGAAAATCATCTTCCTCCTTGTTCAACGACCACTTTACCAACCAAACAACCACCATAAATAGGCTGCCTTCACCCCATAACTCTAATTTCTCTCTCCTTTACCATTTTCACTATCAACAATTCAAGTGGAAAAGGAAATCACATCTGAAATTTGCAAATGGTGGTGGTTTGATTTCTTAATTTCTTTCTTCTTTCAACAATTTAAGCCCAATTTTATGGTCAGACAAGGGTGGTGGTGGTTTGAATGAAGATGGTGGGTTGCGACTAGTTAGATGTCGTGAAATGAGTGTAATGGCTGGTGGTTGGTGGGATGAGGAGGTGGTTTGAAGAGTTAAGGAATTAGTGTCGATGGTGGACCGAAGGTGGTTTGCAGAGTTGAGAAATTGGTGTCAATTTTCTCTCTCCTCAACCAATAGATCCATAGCCCACCGGACCAGGCTAGAGGGGAAGCCAACAACGGGTTTTTATTGGTGGTTGCGTGGGAGTTTCGGGGAGGGGGGATGGTGGTTTAGATGGTAGCGGCCGGAGCGGAAACTCTAGTGGAGGGGAAGGTCCAGCGGTCCGACGAGGGAGGTGGCTGGCTAGGCGGCCGCCGGAACTCTCGGGTGGTTGGGGTTTTGGCTGGGTGGTTTTTTTTTTTAATTTTGTTTTTGTTTTTTTTTTTGTTATTTTTTTTTTGTTAATTTTTTTTTAATTTTTTGACCAATCAGGACTTGACACGTGTTCAGTGACCTGAAATAACAGGTTTAGTTACCGGTTGGGTATGAAGAATGATAGACCACCTTAAAGTTGGGATTATTGAGGAATAATCCAAAGTTGGGATTAATGAAAATAAATTGGTGAAAGTTGGGATTGAAAAACGGTATTAATCCTATATTTTAAATTAAAATAGTATATGGAGCACATTATAACCGATTTAATAATTTTGGAAACCGAGATATATTTAGGGGCTGTTTGGTTCGCAAAGTGGAATCAGAATGGAATGGGGAAAGGGTATGGAGGAGAATGGAATGAAACCCTTGAAATTTGCGATGTTGTTTGTTTTGATAACAAAGGGAAACAAATCCCACTAATCCCGCCACCACCACACAACCACCTAATTCTTTAACTTTCCACCTTTTCCAGCCACCATCCATCCACCAAACCAGTCACCGCCTCCCCCACCATTCGCCACCCTACGCGAGCCCTCCCCCACCCCTGCGCAGCTCATCCCTCCCCCAAAAAACCTCCCTTAGCCCAGAAAAACCCTAGAATCTAATCTCACCCACCGTAAAACCCATCGGCTGGCCCCCCCCCACCCTCGAAACCCTAGAGCGCCTAGGGTTTCGATGGTGGGGGAGGGCCGGTCGGCCGTTTTACAGTGAGGGAGATGGGTTTTTTTTTAGGTTTTTTAGGTTTTTCGATGGTGGGTTTCGAGAGTGAATGGCCGACGAAGGGAGAGGAGGTGCGGCGAGGGGTGGGGGAGAGGCGGCGAGTGATGACGTGGCTGGTTGTGGTGCGGCGAGGGGTAAAGGAGAGGCGACCGACGGATCTAAGTGGAGGGAGAGGGTTATGCGTGGGTGACGGAATGATTTTCCGATGAGAGGAGGGGCGGCGAGGGTCGGGGGATGGCGGCGAAATTCCGGTGAGGGGCGGCGAAGTTCTGGCGAGAAGTGGGTGAGGGTGGCTGATGTGGGTAAGGTGGTGGTTGGGGAAAGGGAATGGAAAAGGCTAGGGTGGTTGGGGAATGGGAGTAGAAGGTTTTTGGGTAATCAAAGGGGAAAGAGAATGATAGAAATGGGAAAAAAACAACAACAAAGGGAATGATTTCCATGGAATCCCATTCCCTTTGATTATTACTGTGAACCAAATGACCCCTTAAGTTATTCGTCTACTTTCCTTTTAGCCATTTTATTAACGGTATTATTGTTCTTTTTTTTTTCAAATTTAAAAGCTTTTCACTTAGCTTCATTTGTAATATGTTTTTCATTAAATATCGCTCTAACGATCAACAATTATACATTTAGTACATCAAGTTTAATTCCACAAAATTGGGGGGGGGGGGGGGGTGCCCGCGTTGTGGGCGCTCCCACAACTAGATTAATTAAATGTGAAAAGTTGTGATGCCCTTCATAAACAGAGGTCATACACGACCCAATGCACGTTGCGTGTCGTGTCGTGTCGTCGAGCATGCAGGCCGGTCTGCCGTGCTCAAGCCGGGTTGATTTCATGTTAAACATAAGAAATTATGTCCATGCATGATCCACAAGTGTGCCTCTTGTGCCGTACTCTACTTTTGGCGGGCTCATATTGGGTTGGTCAGGCACAACACAAAAATAGTCTCGATTGTTGGTTATGGTACCACTACAAGAATTCCATCCAAAAAAGAGTTTATAAAGCCTCAAAGGCTCAGATATGTATTTCACCCATTTTGTACAATTTATGCTCTTTTTAGCAATTTTGATTTAAATGTTTTTGATAATTGCAAATTCAACAATAAATCTCAATTTTTCTACAGATTTTAATAACATTTCTTCTGAAAGTGGGGAAGTTGAAGCCGTAATATGCATTTCTTATGGCAAACATGAGCCTGAAATATACTACATACAAATAAGGGATGAACATGTAAACATATTTGAGTCATGATCAACACTTTTTTTGACATATTACGTCAACTAGTAGCAAAATTGACAAATAAGAAAAATAAAAGGTAATTAAATATACTCAGTAATAAAATTTATGAAGAATAATAATTTCAATAAACTAATAAAAGAAATGTACTTAAAATCAATTTTTTTAGACATAATCTTCATTCTTTCTTTTTATTATAGGATCATTTGTTTGATCATAGAAGTAAAGCATTAATAAAACTAACATTTTTCTTAGACTTTCTCTTTCTAGGGCTCTGGTGCATCTTTAGGGCGATCACTATCATGTACTGATCTCCATAGATGGCGAGGAAGAAGAAATCAGTTTCAAATAATCCATTAGAGACTATTGCTTCAACAAGTAGTAGTCTTAGTGGTAATGGAACTGGATCCGGTGGGAAGGAGGGTCTTAAGTCGATGGTTGAAGGGGATGGTATGGGTGGTCAGCTGGAACTTGTTCGCTCACCATTAGTTCATCCGAGTGCTGGGCTTATCACAAGGGAGGAGTATGAGAACCTGGTGGCGCAGAATCGGATATTGGGTATTCCAATAGTGAATAGTGAATCTAATGAAACAGTACCTAGATTTCAGAATTTGGGGAAAAACGTTGCCTAGATTTGCTGGTAATGATT